GCTTATCAACAATTCGAACTACACGTAGACGCCAAAACAATAACGACGCTCAGTATCCATCGTGGTTTATTTAGAACAGACTGTCATCTGGCATCCACTCGGCTCCGACCATTTTCCAGAGAACAATAGAGAACATCATAAAAGGGTTGCCTAAAGCTTTCATGCACCTAGACAACATCCTGGTTATGGGGGCGGCAATTGACGAACATCTACAAACTCTGCGAGTTGTTCTGGACAGCCTGACGGAGAATGGTTTGAGGCTGAAACGTGCAAATGCGTATTCTTGGCTCCGCACGTTGATTATTTGGGTTTCCGTCTAAGTGCTGTGGGACTGAAGACGATTGAGGAGAAAATCCGGCCTATCCTTGAGGCACCACAACCAGGAAATCAACACGAGTTGAGGTCGTTCTTGGGAATGTACAACCACTACTCGAGGTTTTTTCGGCAATCAGCCACAATGATACACCCGTTCCATCGTTTGTTATGCGAGGGCACAGTGGGTGTGATCTGGAATTGGCCTTTCGTCAAGCTAAAAGTGCACTGGCCACACCATCGGTTTTGGTCCACGTTGACCTTGAAAAGTACATGACAGCGACATGTGACGTATCACCGTAGGGACTCGGAGCCGCTCTGTTACAGCTGGACGCGAACGGAATAAACCAACCAGTTGCATTCGCTTCTCGGACCCTATCATAGACCGAACAAAATTACGCCCAAATTGACAAGGTTTTGGTGGTCGTTTTTGAGGTTGCGCCATTTCATCAATTTTAAATACTCACAGACCACAAGCCATTAGCGGAAATTCTGGGTGAATCAAAAGTGATACCCCAAAGGACCTCGCCCTGGATGCTTCGTTGGGCTCTGCTACAAGCTGCCTATCTGGCAATTGAAATATCTTCCCGGGAAGAAGAATCACTGTGCCGATGCACTCAGCCGACTTACATTACGGGAGGTTCCGAGCCACACGCCAGCTTTGAGTGATTTGATACAAGTAATATCTTGGTTGGATTATTCGCCGGTGACAGCAACAGAAATAAAATCTGAAACAAGGAATGACCCGGAACTGTTGAAGGTGCGTGATTATATCCTAACTGATTGGCCGGACAGAGTAAATAAAGAGCATTTCACACTCGAAGAGATGTATTAAGCCTCGAGGACGGTTGCGTACTTTGGGGCTCTCGTGTCATCGTCCCCAAACGGCATCGTCAGACAATCCTGCAGGAACTTCCTACGAGTCACCAAGGAAACTCAAAGATCAAGGCACTAGCACGTAACTATATCTGGTGGCCCGGGAGTAGATCAAGAAGATGAACTACTCGTAGAATTGCGTGCTAGCTGTCAAGAAAACAAATCATCTTCACAACCTGTGCCAATGTCTCCACGGCAATGGCCCTCGCGCCCGTGGGACAGAATACACATTAACTTCTGTGGACCCATCGACGGCTATATGGTTCTGGTTGTAGCGGACGCACATTCCAAATGGATCGAAGCTCGAGTAACCACATCCATGACTGGGTCGACCATTGCGTACATCCTAAGGAATATATTCGCTACACTGTGTACCATGTACCGTTGTTTCAGTTAACGGCCCGACATTTACCATCGAGGAGTTCGGACAATTCCTACGTCAAAATGGAATCGAACATGTTCTCTCGGCATCATATTACTCTTCGTCCAATAGTCTGACAGAGGGAGTGGTTGCGACAATCAAACAGGGTGTGGCCAAACAACAGTCCGGAACTACAAACCCGCCTGGGCAAGTTCCTATTCGAATACCGCATTACGCCACACACTACTACGGATTATCTACCGTGTGAACTTCTGACGGGACGCGTCTGCGCACTCGGTTGGATCTTATTAAAACCAATCTGCATCAAACGGTCCGTAAACGCCAGTCTGTGATGAATCAACGCTATGCCATGAAAACCAAGCATCGTGTGGTTGAGGTAAGCGACTGTATGTTAAACTGAGGCCAACGGATAAAACTTGGATTCGAGGGATTACGAGATCGACAAGAGGTAGTGCAGTGGAAGCAGAATTGGAAGATGGGGGAATACTTCAACGTCGTTTGGACCAAGTGCGATGACAGCCTATGAGTCCAGAAGAGGAACAAACAAAATGCCTATTGCCTGCACCTATGAGAATAGCACCAGAAGCATTATCAAATGAAGGCGACGTGAGCAACCCATACAGCTGTGGCGATCACTTTGTGAAAAGCGCAGCGTAGAACACTAGCAAACCGCATACTCTTAATGGAGCGGTGGAGGATTGCTGTGATTGGTTATCACGAGCCACACGGTCTGTCTGGCGATGCACGTGACTCATTTGTGTGAATAAATGTCCATGTTATCAAGCGAACCCGTGGCTTGGTCGTGTGTACATCTTACAGCTGTGTCACTTGCTTGTCCGTGTTCTTACCATAGTGTTGGTGTTCTCTCGAAGTCTACGCAGTTGTCAATTTGATGGCTTGGCTGCTCGGTAGTTAACAGGTAGAGGCCTTTTCTTAGGACAATGCGCCTCTCTAGCGGTGTTTGGTCGTGTGTGAACATGTCTTTGGGTTCTATTTTTGCAGAAATGACGCATTTAGATCATCGACACGTTTCAACAGTTCCTTCATCTAGATATTTCAGAAGAATCGGACACGACTTCGTTCAGATTTTGCTGAAGTCCGAAACAAATTGTTAACTCGATTCATGTTGCTGGATGTAAGGATGAAGGTTTTGATTTCTTCGATACTAACTAGCGAATATATTGAATGCAATCATGTTTTCGATCTGCTCATGTGCTCCTTGGTCCCAGAGGTGATAAGAGAGAAAAAGAACCAGCCGTACATAATCTAACCAAAGTTCACGTTCTATGAGACTGGTTATCTCACAGAATGACAAAATTGGATCGTAGTCTGTGCCAAATTCATTGTTTGTTTTCAGTAACGTGATATCTTCCTCAAGTAAGATAATGCTTTTGAGCACATCAGGAAGGATACTGGAAGCTTTACTAGTGTGTTTGGCTGCTGCTGTTGCTTTTCCTACCAGAGGAAACTTTGGTTCTTATTCCTGGCGTTCATTTGCAATGAGTGCACAGAGAACTGGTGAGCTAATGTTGTCTAAAGAGCCAAAAGCAAATAACGTCGGTTGGCACGTGGGATAAAGTGCTAAACTGAGGCTAGGCGCGTTTAATAATCTACTACAGGACGCAGTAAAGACTGGCCGGCTCAGGTCCCACAGTGCCTACTGCTAAGCAGCAATAGTTATTGTGCGATGATTGGCAGATCCTTGTCCAGGACAGGCGTTTCATATGCTGCACGTAAGTGTGGTTCAGCTAAGATTACTCCTTACCCAGATCTGCGCCGAACTGCAGAAAGCGATGGTTTTTGTAATCGGTTAGTTACCCCTCAAAAGATCACATCTTTGATCGCTCCCTGGAACTGTGTAGTTATTATCAAGACGCCCCTGTCGGATCGGCATTCAGGAAAGATCACCGATTTGTCAGGCGATTACTTAACCAGCGAGTATGTAATGGTCATGAACCGCAATGGTCCCAATACATCTCATAGTTGGTAACACTGCTCTCTGCAGGACTTTTTCTGGTTTTCTTTCAGCTCATTCGAACTATCGGCTGTTGGAATCCCGATGTTAGTGGGGCTGCCCACCAATTCAAAATTTACATTTTCACTAACACTGAATTTAACTGCCACCACACGTTTAGGTGTTCAACGCCTTGCCGAGAAAAGACGACATAAGTAATTTCTTTTCTGGAGCTAACTGAATAAATTATATTCGAAACTCAGGTGCAGACGAATTTCTCTCGCAGTTGTTTAGGAATTGTGTTTTGGAGGTCCCCAGGAGTCAACAACTATTCTCCCATAGACGTGGCATGAATTGAAACCTTCAATCTCTCTTTGCCAGGAGCGTAAGGCGCTTGGACAACCTGAGTTAACCAGAGAGATTTCTGTCGTACGCCAGCCACTTCCAACTTACTGGTAGCCATCACTCTAGGCAGATAAGTGTCATTCCTCAACTTTCCGTGAAGGGCGCCAGTGGTTTCGCACAGATCGACCATGTTTGCGATAGGCCTTATCCTCTTACTGGTTTAGTAAACACCCTTTTTTGCTGTAAGCCGCCTAGATATCCGCCCTGCTTTTGATGGAAGATTTGAGTCCTGAGAGGCTTGTTAGTATCCAGTGAGCTCAGTAGTTACAGAGCACTAGCAACTTGGGCGTTAATTGTAGGCTCTCTTCACTCTTTGTTAACCCCCCTAATACGATGAAACTGAGGCCTGCGCGTCCCAGTTTCCCTCCAACTTTGGCCTGGAGCGTTGTTCACCGTGGTCACGTGCCCTGGATTACCCTGCCGAGAGCATTTTCTCTGTCCGAGTTCACAGACAACGCTACTCGTTTGGAGCCCTTTGGTGTGGGAAGCGTCTAGGATTGGTGTATACTTTACCCCACTGGAGTTCCAGTTACCGCTTCCGAAATAGTAATGATCCGTTCCTTTGTGTACGACAGGATGAACCACTCTATCCCCTTTCCCCGAGGAGCTGCATTCCTACTAATGGTCTTCCATCACTTCTACTCACTAAATCCCACTCAGCATCTTCCAACCGAGGAACGCAGTGGCACTACCGGCATGTTACCCTACATACTTAAAGGATAGGGCTCACAAATCCGACGGTATTGTTGGGTAGAAGTGAATCCCAACCTTTTCTTTTAACAAATGGTGTTTGCAAGACTTCGTTCGCCTGTGATGACTACACTGTTCTCACCGAGGCAGTTAGGATCGAATAACGGTAATCACGAGATTGCTTCTTAGCAATGTTGCGCACTCTCGTCAATTAGGTTGACTTGTTCATGTTTTGCGACTGTCTGCCGCGCATTCGAGCTAAACAGGTCGTCTGTGAATTACAGCGCTCTAACTGCGGCAGCACCATAGCGCATCACTGTGAGCACCAATGTCTAACCTTAATATACGTGCACTTTTTCTATTTCACCCTCCCGCTCGCAGGTCAGAAGGCGTTCACTTATGATAAACTATTGCGAATGGGGAGCAGTACCAGACGCCAAGTCAGAAGGTAGCCCGATAATCGTTAAATGTGGCGAACTATTCGAAGTCGATGGTGGTAAGTTGATATGCAAGTGCAACACATCTTTCTAATTTAAATCCAGTTAATTTTTTATGGGGAATTTGTGATCTACGCACCTTTCTTGATTGCCACAACGTGATTTAATGGGCGTGGTTGGTGTGCGCAATTTGACTTGCCGTATCCGTTTGGCCACTGGAGCGTATCGTCCCTGTAGTTGGTGAGAAGGCACAAAAGTATCTGGATGTATCTGTATTGAAAATGTGTACAATGGTTCCGTATATTGTGTAATAAGGTGCCAGTTAAGTTATGGATGTCAGGGTACCGCGTGCTGCAGCGGCGTGGTGAACCCATCCGTTGCGCCGTGTGTGTGTGTGTGTACGTTGCTCACGTGTCGGTCAAACAAAGTCAACATACGCGTTGTGACGCCTGCCACTGCCACTAGTATGCCACTCAGAACGGAGCAATGACGCACAGGGTGAGGACGAGCTATCTTGAAAACTGACAAGCGTGAGCAAACAGAATACAAAGTTAATAGATAAATCAAGCAATCACGTGCAAGGACATAGGCAATTAATGACAAACTAACTGTGAACGTCTATCATGCGCCTAACACGCCACATCGAACGCCTAACTGGACAGTGAGTTGCGAATTTTATTTGGTATCTTATACAACCTACTCTGACAAAACGGGAAATCTTCAGACCACTTCAGTGGATAACCTGGTTCAATGCATTGCATCGCTAGCGGTTACCATCTCCCTGCAATCAAACTTTAGGTGTCAGTGATGTGTTGGTTTCGCGAGGTTCACGTAGGTTTGGGAAGTTGAGGATATTTTGGTACACTGCAGTGCCACTGTGTTCACTAACCATTAAAACCGCTAAGGGACTGCGCACAACATTATCTGACTTACTCCTCTCACATCTGATTCCGTCGTTGCAACGTATATCCGACGAAAACGCCGACACTCATCAGCACCTTCATCCATCTAGAACCCAAGAGCTCAACGAACCAAATCAGGTAGCGGAGTGAGGGCATCATGGTGTTTTCGTGAAGGTTCGGCCGCTTTTGAGAGTAGTCAGGATTTTCCTGTTTCAAATTTCTTATAGTAACTGCCCATTGTCAAGTATCTTCACGTGACATCGGCTATATCTAGAACTAACATGTCTTCATGATTTCCGAAGGTTTTGACCATAAATCGGTTTTCATAGGGTTTTATTATGGCAACGTTTCGTCCTTGACCCAAGAGCTTCTTCAGGCCAGGTGAATCGGTACACAAATGGCTTAGCTTTTTATGGGAAAGTAAGGTGAAGATTGCAGGAAATAACATGAACCATTGAATAATAGTGTTACAAGTCAATAGATCAAGTGGCCATTCTAGTGAAACAACAAGCATCGAGCGTTTCTCATTGATCCACGTCACCGGTCGTTCACATGGGAGGCATTCCTTTCTTGCAGCTGCTGATTCACGTTCCGACCTAAGTTCGTCCGCCGACACCTTTTCTGACTGACCGGGTTAACACAGCCCGCCACGCGTTCGATAACTCCACCACGTCCGTTCTGTTCACACAGTTATTAGCCTTAGTAATCTCGATCGCCTCAGCAATCAACCTTTGGCTTGTTGCTAGTAATCCCCTCTTAAATATCTTGACGTTGTCCCAATCAATCTCGTGTCCTGCGTCTGGCGTATGTACGACCACCACTAAATATTTTAGTAGGGCCCTGTATTCAGGCTCATTTCTCGCTGGACGCTAAACGTGCCTCTTGTGCTCTGCTATCCTCGTGCGTAGCTCACTCGCTGCTTGACCCATGTACACGTTTTCACAATCTTTGCTACTGATTCTGTAAACGCAATTTGTCGTCCTATCCCTTGGAAGCGGATCCTTCAAACGCAAAAATATTGAATAGAGCGTTTGACCTCTTCGAAAAACTACTCTTATTTTCTCCCTGTTTAGTACTTGTCGGATTGCTTCTGAGGTTCCCTTTTTATAGGGGATTCCCGCCGTCCCAATCCACTCCGTTGTGCGTCGCTGAGGTGGATTTAGAGCTCTCTGCAAGTGGCGTTTCAGTAACCGCCTCGGATTTCCACTGTCTACTAATTTGCTCACCGCCTCCTTACGAGCGGCTTTTTTGTTCTCTTCCACTGTACACAGAGTCTGGGCTTTGTGAATTGTGTATTGCTTATGTAGTCGGCGCATTGTATACTAAGATCAAGTTCGCTGTGCAGGTATGATCATCATTGGATCTGTAGCCATTGTTCCAGAGAGGAGGGTTCCTAGTGTGGCGGTGACACGACATTAGTGAGTGTTCGTTCGTCGCCACACCTGTGGGCCACTTCGGTAATCAGTTACCGCTACAGGACCCATGGTCCTGCCGTTATGTTAAGGTTGTAAGATGCATGTCAATCCTGCGTTTCAACATGATATTTACCCTTCACTTCCAAGTGACTGGAAAGCTTTAAATCTCAAGTGACCCTACGGCCCTGATATGAGGTGCCTACGAGCATTGCATACGCACAGTAAGCATAGAGTTTGGAGAAATTTTCCTCCTTCAACAACGTCTCCGGAATTACCTACTTTCCAATGACAAAATGTTTCCCAGTAGTTGCTAGGTCGCTAACAACCTGTGTCACGGCGTGCATACATGAATGTTTCTAAGACTAGCTGAAACAGTGATCCATAGCAGGCTTAGTGGGCGCGATTGCCTTTGTAAATGATTGCAAACACATTGTAGGAACGCCCTTGGATGAGACAACAGTGTTTATCTGTTCCAAGTACTCACCTGAAGTACCAGAGTAACATGTCTGCGTCGCCACTAATCAAAAGTCTTGCCTTCTTTCTAGCAGGACGATGTGGCATGTATAAACACCGTAGTCATTGTGGCCCCTTTAAGTGTTACTTTGTTGAGTAATGCCGATTTCTTGAGGTGAGCATGCCAGTCCATTGACGTAATAGGGAGGTTCCATCTGCATTGACTGTGCTTATAATGGTTCCATTTGGAGAGCCACTTGTTAAATCGTCTCAACACGTATGGGCGATCATATGGAAGTGAAGCCTAATTATCCTAAGAATACATAGGTTCCTATGACTTTTACCTAACGCCATACATGGAGACACTGAAGTGGTAACTAACAAAGTCTCCCATGGGTTAGGAGACAAACGAACACTCATTAACGTCGTGTCAGCGCCACACTTGGAATCCTCTCACATTTTGTTGAGCCATCAACTGTGATAGAAGTAAGCAAACATAGAATGTTCGTTGTTCAGCTTCAGGTTGGTCTATTAACTTCAATGGGCACAATGTCCCTCATGGTCGTCGCAATAACAATCGCACAAAATTGTATAACTACCTAGCAGCCATTGCTGAACTGCGGAATACCAGTGAGATTATTCTCTGTCTACGTCACCATGGGCGACCATATGAAAGTGAAACCTAATTATCCGAAGAACTCATAGGTCCCTATGACCTTTACATAACACAGTACATGGAGACACTGAAGCGATAACTGATTAACATTTCGCCCATGGGTATGGAGACAAACGAACACTCACTGACGTCGTGTCAACGCCACACTTGGAATCCTATTATTTTTTGTTGAGTCATCAACTGTGATCGAATTAAGCAACCTTAGAATTTTCGTTGTTCAGCTCCACGTTGGTCTACTAACTTCTGTGGGAACTATGTCTCCCATGATCGTTGCAATGACATTCGCACACAGTTGTCTAACCGCCTAGCAGCCATTGCTGTACTGTGGAGTACGAGTTAGATGGTTGCCTGTCTACGCCACGATGGTTAGGCCGCTGAATAAGCCACCATTAGATAGCCGCCAGTGATCGCCATAGACCGCTTCGTGTGCTGGTTAGTATGTCTGTCCACACTGGTTACGTCTTAATCTTCGGATAATGTGGTGGCTAGGATCTCCTCCTTTGACAAGCATCACAATTTACCTATTGGTCGGTTTCAGATTTGAGACCAATCATCGAGGTTTACTTCAGAGGGGCATCAGGGCAGAACGGAAGGTCGTGCTCGACCACTTTCATTGGACTGTCTGTCGCTTATGCCGGCGGCTTCTAACCGGTGTCCCATTGATTTACGTCCCATGACCAATGAGAGTGTCAAGGACGCCAAAACAGCGTTCTCAGCCTCGCTAACTTGAAAGTACCGCACGCGATTTCGAAAATGAACCACGCTAAAAGCTTGCTACAATACGCTAATATGCGTGTAAAATGTTATAGTTTCAACTCATATGTTAACGCGGAGCGTCACTCCTCTTCTGTCGACAAGCCCATGTGCAACCAAGCGGCCAAGCCCAGTTCATCGACTTCCATTTGGAGCCGTCGAGCATCCTTCATATTGGCATGCCTCAATGTACGCACATTGCTACAAATGGTTCAACTGTACGCAATTGGAGCTCACTGGTCTCATATTCACCAGTCCTTGCTAGCAGTAGGAAAATCCTCATGTGGTAAGTTTAATCGCCAACATGGACATTGGGTCTCTTCGCAGTCTCTGGAACTGATCGGTGCTCGCCGGCGTATTCCAGTTGGAAGCGAACACAATGAAACTCGCAAAGAGCTTCGGGCAAAACTCCGTGCTAGCCTGAAGAGAGACCGCGAATCCTGGTGATCTCATCGTGCATCAGAGATGGAAATGGCCGCTGCCCTTTGTAACCATCGTAAGTTATTCCGGCTTATACGAGAAACGGGCAGCAGGAGACCTGGTGTTAGTGAAACTATACGTGACGAGAGTGGACAGCCTATCCACAACTTGTCAAAACGCTTGGAGCGTTAGGCTAAGAACTTTGAAAGGCGATTTAATCGGTCGGAATTGTTAGATTTCTCGCCGGCCAGTGATCGCCCTGCTCCGTGGGCTGTTCCTTTGGATCCAACCTCTCGCTCAGAAGTCAAACGTGAGATCGATCTGTTGAAGTTAAGTAAAGCCGCGGGACCTGATGATCTTCCTCCAGCCCTCTTCAAATTCGGGGGACCTGCTTTTATGGATGATTTACACGAATTACTAGTGAAACTGTGGGGGCAGGA